TACCGGGTATCGTTTTAATAATAATACAGGTGACACGGAATTTTAAGTTTTATATGAAAAAGATCGAAATGAGATTATCGAGAGATTATCTCGTTTACATTTGAAATTAATTTGTATTTCTCAGAAACGGGCAGTTTTCGTAGGAATTGGAGTCTGCTAGAATGTTCTTTTACGAATTGTACAAACACAGGCCGTCTTCGTCGATGAGTTCAGTTCAGTTCGAGCTACAGTGCGATAAACATCGAAGCGATTGAAGCGAATAAAGTGAAGCGACCTCAGCGATCATGCCGAACTAATGTTCAGTGTTGTTGAAACGTAGTAATAATAAAGTCTATTCAGTCGGTAGAAGGTATATAATTCCAAATCAACTAACCCTAAATTTACATATTCAATTAAATACTGAACTTTTATTACCTTACAATCCACTACATACTTCTGCAGCTCAACACACACACACGCACGGTCACATGGATAAATACAAACATAGATTCATCATCAACAGCCTTTAATAGTCCACTGCTGAACATATAAGTATCTCCTTAAGTTTTCCTTCTCATTGCTGTTGTCTTACGACACCAACGGCATGAATAGGAGTGGTGATACTCCATTTCCTTTATTTGTACGGACAATGTCTCATCATCATCACATCAATAGCCTTTACTAGTCCACTGCTGGACATAGGCCTCTCCTTAGAAAGGAGGTATTGGACTAGACGGGTTGGTATAGGGTTTGTTTCAAGTGTTCCTTCTCTCTGCAGTGCTGTAATCCTGCGAGTTTTCTTAGTCCTTAGTCGGCTCTTACGACACCCACGGGATGTATAGGGGTGGTGACACTCTGTATTCTTAATCCGTCACCACACGGACCACGGACAATGTGTGCGTAACTAAATTAACTTCAGAGAAACTAGTCTAAATATATAAATGAGTAAAGCATAATTATGTAAAAAAATCGATGTGTTAAGGTTATCTTCATTTATTTATATTTCTTTTAAAACATTCTTTATATTAATCAGATAATCAGAAGGCCACACGGACAAGGTCTTTGTAATGATTTTGACTTAAGGAAATGACCTTCCAAACTAAACTAATGTTAATAATTTGAATGCATTTTTCTAAATTGATGTTTATCACGTCGAAATTCAATAAGCATTACTTAAAAACAAAACTTTAGGACATCTTCGTCAGATATTTGCTTTGGGTTACTTGAGATACGTCACACGTGGCTGTAATATACCCAACAAAACTAGGATACAAAGCCTGTACCATGGTAATCAGACTACTGATCATCATCAGCCTATGGCAATCCTCTGCTGGATTTTCGGCCTCTCTTCTTTTTCTCTTCTTAGACTACTGATAAACATACTTATATATTTCTAAATACATACATGTTATAGATAAACTACACCCCGACACAACAATATAACAATAGTATTTTTTTGGTATTCAATGAATCATAAATGTATATTTAATGAAATAAAGAGAATAATAATATTTTCAGACATTTTTTTTTTTATTTTGTTGACGGGGTGGAAAATCCTTCCTATCTCCTGCTCCTCGGGGACTCAGGAGCCAGGAGTATGTGGTGATTCCACTAAAAACCACCCCGACGGTCGGCCTCAGGCCCTACTCTGGGGAGGGCCCGAACCATGTTATTTCAGGTGCTCCCCGACTTGACACCATGCCTAATCAGGCTCTATCCCAGGGGAGAGCACTTCTCCCCTCAATCGCTACATGGCGGCCCGATTGCATCTTAATGCAATCACCATAGCATAAATTAAAGGTAAGTAGTCCTACAGTTACCTTTAATTTGTTATAACGAAAATTAAAAAAAAACTATAACCTACAAACATTGAAATAAGATGAGATCAATATTAAAAGAGCATCACACAGATCGATCGTATAAGTTGACTGACTTCTGCGAACTACCATGAGCTTAACACTAGTGAGAGAGGGGTAGCCCTGCCCTTACGAAGCATGAAGAAACCCAGTCCCCTGGAGATAACTGCATGTAAGGCGTAGTTGTTTAAGCGATCATTTCGCCGCTTCCCACTGCCTTGAGTATTGTGGGTTCGATCACACTATAGGACAACATTTTATGTAATCCACAAATTATTATTGTAAGTCTGGTTGTTTTTGTGTCTGTTTCATAAATGTGTGTAAAGTACCCCCGACACAGTACTATGTACATATATTTGTCAATCAACATCACATTAATAACCTTTAATAGTCCACTGCTGGACATAGGCCTCTCCTTAGAATGGAGGTTTAGCCTAAAACGCTAGCCAGACGGGTTAGTATTGGCCTCGGTTCAAGTTTTCTTTCTCTTTGCAGTGCTGTTATCCTGCGTAGTTTGGTCCCTTAATTGGCTCTTACGACACCTACGGGATGAATAGGGGTGGTGATAAAGCCAAAAAAATAAACTTTTAAATAAACGTATTCGGACTAAAGTTAGGTTTAACATCTTAAGGAAATAATAAACCTTACACAAGTAAATCAATCCAAATAAATTTTAACTTACAACTAAATAACTACCGTCCTCTTATTCGATTTTATGCTTAAGTATACCAGTTAAAAGCATTTATTATAAGCAAAAAAACAATCAAAGAATATTTCCATTCTAAAGTGCTGGAACTGTAAAATATTGTACAACGAAGAGCATAACAAACCATCGACAGTTACTCAAATAGTTGGTGTTTAATCTTATATATAAAACTAGCTGACCCGGCAAACGTTGTTTTGCCATAGGTATATACATTATTTCTAGGAAATATTGAAAAAAAAATTTAGGGGTGGGTCATTTAGGGGTATGAAAAATAGATTTTGGGCGATTCTCAGACCTACCCGATATGCACACAAAATTTCATAAAAATCGGTCCAGTCGTTTCAAAGGAGTATGGTAACTAACATTGTGACACGAGAATTTTATATATAAGATTCTTGATTTTCGGAAAATTTTGTGTGCATATCGGGTAGGTCTGAGAATCGGCCAACATCTATTTTTCATACCCCTATTTATCATTTTTACATATTTTTTTTTAAATAATGTATATGGCAAAACAACGTTTGCCGGGACAGCTAGTCTTATATAAACTGACGTACGTATATACATATGTATATAACAAAAATTATACACCAGCTTGTATGTCGTCTATATCGATTATCGCGGTAAAAAGTATGTTCGTGTGGTGACGGATTAAGAATACGTAGTGTCACCACCCCTATTCATCCCGTGGGTGTCGTAAGAGGCAACTAAGGGAGCAAACTACGCAGGACGACAGCACTGCTAAGAGAAGGAAAACTTGAAACAAACCCTATACCAACCCGTTTGGCCAGCGTAGTATAGTAGGCCAAAACCTCCTTTCTAAGGAGAGGCCTATGTCCAGCAGTGGACTGTTACAGGCTGTTGGTGGGTAAAAAGTAGCCCATGTTACTTGCTAAAATCGGTTTGGTGGTTTAGGAGTGAAACCGTAACAAACCAACTCACTATCACATTTTTCATTTACGAGGAAGTATGGATGCAGCTGGCTGATTGAGACTTCGATCCAAAACAGGTTATTGAGTTAAAACCAGTTTTAGGTCCAATTAAGTAATTAATAATTTGACACAAGATGATTACAGGCAATTTCAAGGCAACGTCGTAGGTGCGACTCCTGTTCAATGCAGATATATTTTTGATGACAACTCACGGCTTACTAGCTTCGTTCACTAGGCCACTGCTCCACTTCCAATTGTCATAGTATGATGTTACAGAGCACATAGCCTTCATTAATAAAAACCTTTTTATAATAAAAAAATAAATTATCAAGTCTAAAAACTAACTAATAAACAATACGAAAAAACCTTTTAGCTTTGTTATGTTTCTGCGTTTCTCAAAAGAAAGATTCTATCCTATTTTTGCAACTTTTTTCAATGATGCTCGGCTCCCATTGGTCGTAGCGTAATGTTATACAGCCTATAGCCAGCCTCGATAAATGGGCTATCCAACACTAAAAGAATTTTTAAATTCGAACCAGTAGTTTCTTAAATTAGCGCGTTCAACCAAAGACACAAACTCTAACTTTAGTTGGTATCGATATACTTGTGGGTGGGAATGGACCTGCTGCTCATCAGCCAGGGTCATTAACCACCAGGTCAACAGGTCAGTCGATGTAGCCGAATATATATGTGTTCTATAGCCCAAGCTATACCTTATTTAGGTCTACGTAGCTGGTTTTGATTAATCTGCACAGGTGGCGTAGTGGTGTCTTGTGGGTTCGATCCCCACTTCGGACATAAATTTGTGTGATTGTTGACATATAAGTTGTTGTTCTGAGTCTGGGTGTTCTTTGTGTCCGTTTCATGTAAGTTTAAGTAAAGTCCCCCGCGACACTGGATATACATATATTCCTAATGCGCGAGTTGTCTTATTTACCCTTTAAAAATGGCCTTAAAAGGTTCATTTATTTGGCTTACCGACGCAGTGGGTGAAGATTATTATCAGAAAGTTACAATTTTTTATCCAAATATGTAAATTATTCAAAGCAAAAAAAAGAGAAAATTGTTTAACTTTATATATTGCCAGCAAAATACGTTCATAATGACTTATATAACAAGCTGCCATATTAGATATTTTTAAAAATCACGTGCTAAACCAATTAAAAATATTTGCTGAGCGACCCATCAAATTCCACTCCTTTAGCAGTCAACTTAACCCGTCCCTACCACACCGGTTCAAAAGAAAGTAGGCGTATATATAATGTGTCATTCACACGCCGCGTTCAGTCTAACCTTGAATGTGAAAGTAAAGCCATTCGAATAAAATTAAAGTAAAAGTCAACAAAAATAAATAAAAGAAAGTTTAATTTAAAAAAAATATTAATGTAAAAAGCAAAAGTTAGAAAAATAAATATTTTTTCCAAAATGGAATCGAAATTTTGTTTCGTTTTACTTTTAATATTTTGCACCGGTGTGCAAAGTGATAGTATTTTTGTTAATACATTTAATTATGTAACGGATATTAGCATGAGTTTGACTCCTCAATTTTTATCTGTATTAGAATGTGTTGGAAACGAACAGGCGTGGGGTTGTGCCAGGGAGAAAGCTGGAAAGATGCTGGATATTTGGTCCAAAAAAGTTGAAAATCAACAAAAAATTTGGGAAGGTAAGTTAAATTCTCTTTTCTACATTCATAACAGATTTTAACCAAATCATATTTTAAACATCGAATGTCTTTTTTAAGGGTTATGTAGTCCTAATATTGAACCCATAATATATCCCTTGATTTTCCTATTACTACTAGAAAGCTACAATACAGGACGAAATTTTACTGGTACATGACTAAGTTTCATGCTGGTAAAAAATTGTAACAAAAAATAAATTAATAATATAATATAAATAATAATAATAATAATATATTTTTACCACGTTCACACAACGCCATTTAGTCCCAAACTAAGCAGAGCTTGTACTATGGGTACTAAACAACTGATATAAATACATATATACATTTTTTTTGTAAATACATACATATAATACATAGAAACACCCAGACCAAATCAAACATTTAATGTTCGTGCACACAAATGTTTGACTTGAGCGGCAATAGAACCCGCGACCTTTGGAATAGCAGTCCGTTACACAAACCACTATGCCATCCGGTCAAATAAATATACTATAATATAAATATACTTTTGCTCTGTATTTATGTGTTGTATTGTAATGTATGTACTTATGTGTAGTATATGATAGGTTTGTATTTGCGTAAATATGTGATTTTGTATTCAGCTCAAATTGCTTTTAGTATAAAATTAACTGTAACCAAAATGCACCTACTTCCTGTTTTCTCTGCATCACAAAATTGTTGACTGGTAGAGAATGCCTTTGGCATTAAGTCGGCCAATGCACCTAATGTACATGACGTGTAAAATAAATGAAACTAGCTGTACTCTGTCCGTTGTTGTAATATTAACGATAAATTAAGAACAAGATGAACGCGCAAAATAGAATAAAACAATCCTTGAAGCGGGTTGTATTTTGTGGTCCGGATGTCTTATTAACAGCAGTTCCCGGATCTCTCCTATTACAGGCGCAGAGAGGCACACCGTGTGGTTTTAATCGGCCCGATTCCGACACACTTTCTCGCCCCAAACCCCGGTTGGGTGATGCTCCGAGGGGGTTTTCACACGTAAAAAAAAGGGTTGTATTTCGTATCAAAATTTGAGCTCTATCGGTGCAGAGCTTTTTGATTGTTTGAAGCGTACACAACCCCACTTAATATTTATACGTATATTTACTCGAAATCAAGATGTCCAGAAACTGTGTCGCATTTAAAAAGAATTTACATAATTACCTTCTCGACGAGATGGCAGAAGTACCTTAACCAATAGTAGACCTCCTAAAATGCCATTATTCATATCACACACGACGAACATAAAGAATATGTATTTATATGTATATTTATTTATATATATGTGCAGTTGCATATGTAAGTTTAGTTTAGTTTTATATATTTATTGATAAAAAAATATTTATAATTAGTGATTAGAATTGTAACCTCGGTGCACCTTCCTTCCAAGATTTCTACACCACCCAAAGGTTGGCTGGTAGAGAATGTCCAGGGCATTAAGTCCTCGGGGCACCAGGGACTTCCTTTCTAGGGTATACCTGGTTCCCCGGCTATTAGTACCCGAGACGGCATGCGGTTTAAGTCGGCATTAAGTCCGCCGATGTACATAAGTGCAGAAAGATGTAAACTGTATAGATAGGTAGTAATAAAGTACGGAACCCTACACTGTGTGTGAGTTGAGTTGACTCGACACACACTTTGCTAGTTCTTATTTATACATTGTAGTTGCAATTTTTGACATCTGTCACACAACGCCATCTAGTTTGAAACTAAGCAGAGCTTGTACAATAAAAACTAAATTGACTGATAGAATACGTAAATACTAAATACATACACATTATACATAGAAAACACCCAAACTCTGAAACAAATATTTGCAGATTATACAAACATTAGTTAAGACTCGGGCATCGAACCCAAAACCTCATCACAGCAGTCCACCGAAGCAGTATTTGATTTTATATTCGATTTTAGATCGAGAATGTATGGTTTTTAGGACGGTAGTAATACAGGATGTATTATTTAACTTGCAATGTTTGTATGTTTGTTCCGGTCATATCTTGCAACTGAATTTTAAAGCACTGATTATGATGAAACTTTGCAAAAATGATTAATTTACATTTATTTACCAGACTATGAACAAAGAAAAAATTTGATATTTTAACTTTTGCACCTACTGCGTCATATTTATACATCACCTGAAGCAACCTTATGATTAAGAACACAGAGTGTCACCACCCCTATTCATCCCATGGGTGTCGTAAGAGCCGATTAAGACAAAAATCTACTCAGAACAACAGCACTGCAGAGAGAAGGAAAACTTGACACAAACCCTATACCAACCCGTCTGGCCAGCGTGGTATAGTAGGCCAAAACCTCCTTTCTAAGGAGAGGCTTATGTCTAGCAGTGGACTAGTAAAAGCTGTTGATGTGATGATAGTGAAACTCAAGAATATCGGCCGACCAAGTGTCATATTGCGTAGATTATAAAATGTGTACAGACAAAATAGTTAAAAGGCAAAGTACAGCGCTAGGAGTATCTGTTTATTTTCATATCAATTTATAACAAATGGAAGTTAAACCGCTCGGCACATTAAATATGTAGTCAGAACATGATACAGCATAAACTATATGTATATTAATAGTAGCATTCTTGCGGTTGAACTCGTGCGCAGTACTTCGATCGACGCCATCTTGCGGTTTCCTTTATAAAACAGAACCATGCCATCTCTTTCTATAACTGTCAAACACTACGATAAGTTTAATGCTTGTCACGTGCGGGAAATGTCCTTGAATATTTTTTTTATGTGGCAAACAAACAGACACGTAACTTGCTGGTTAGTGACTACCACTAGCCCCTACCCCCAGTATCAGCGGGATGGTTTGGGCTCCACTAACCTCAATGACTCGGTGAGAATAGAACAAAGAACTTCTTAACACCGGTTTTCTATGAGGACGTGGTTAGGGCTTCTTAGACCATCTATACTAATATTATAAAGCTGAAGAGTTTGTTTGTTTGTTTGATCGCGCTAATCTCAGGAACTACTGGTCCAATTTGAAAAATTATTTCAGTGTTAGATAGCCCATTTATCGAGGAAGGCTATAGGCTATATATCATCACGCTAAGACCAATAGGAGCGGAGCACCAATGAAGAATGTTTCAAAAACGGAGAAAATTTATTACTATTGAGAGACGCAGACGAAGTTGCGCGGGTCAGCTAGTCTTAAATACATCACTGTCTTGTAATTCAGAGCATCATCGTGTTCTGTATGTTTTGTATATGTATATGACTATGTGTACCTTAGATGAAACTGTTCCTTACGATGCCGTGGCAACACTCAGCACATATTTGTAAAGCATGTTTGAAAACTATGTATTAGTGTTTTTTTAAAGGCCGAATCATGACCATGTCCCACAGCAAAAATTTCTGAAGTTGGCTCTCTCTTTCTCTCTCTATACTCGAACAACTTCACTGTGCCTCATGTGACCGTTTATTGAAATCAAATTCGGTTTTGTGAGTCACGTACGGGCGCATGATCGTAAACAGAGCTCTTGAAGTCTGGGAGGACACTGGATTGACATAGACATACTCACTTAATTCCTTGATAAAGGGATTCGACGGCCCTGTTGGTCTAGTGGTTAGTGACCCTGACTATCAAACCAGAGGTAGTGAGTTCAATTCCCACTCAGGACAAATAATTGTGTGATGATCACGAAATAAGTAGTAGAAATAAATAAGTATGCTTATCAGTTGTCTGGTTACGACAGTACAGACTGCCTAGTTAGGGATTAAATGGTCCTGTGTCAGATCATCATCATCATCAACAGCCTTTAATGGTCCACTGCTGGACATAGGCCTCTCCTTAGAAAGGAGGTTTTGGCCTACTATACCACGCTGGTCAGACGAGTTGGTATAGGGTTTGTTTCAAGTTTTCCTTCTCTTTGTCAGATGTGCAAGGTTATTATAAATACCCCATTTTTAAATTAACAAACACAAAAAGACACTAAAATTCACACAAATAGACGTATTTATACATACAATTACATATTTGAGTGTCTTAATGTCTTAGTGAAAAGGAATTCAGCAAAATAGCTGTATAATGCACGTGGCTCACTAAATTCTTTCACCATTTCCTTACATAATGTTGCCTCGACAATAGAAATTGCTGAAATATTACGGCGAAGAGCGAATGTTTGTATAGAAATTAGTGTTTGTATGTTTATTATTGCGAGACTTCACTTTCTTGCTCACTTGTTAGTATGTTTTCGTGTAGTTTACGTGTTAAATAATTTTATGTAACGTTACAGGAATATATAAAACTAGTGTATACTCCATGTGGTTATTTATTTATTTGATTTAACCCTTTTAGGAGTGGAATTTCCAAAAATCCTTTCTCAATTTGTGCTTACAATATAAAAGGTAAGTGTAGTGACGGATTAAGAATACGGAAAGTCACTACCCCAATTCATCCCGGAGGTGTCGTAAGAGCCGACTAAGGGCGCAAAACAATGCAGGACACCAGCACTGCAAAAAGAAGGAAAACTTGACACAAACCCTATTCCAACCCGTCTGGCCAGCGTGGTATAGTAGGCCAAAACCTTCTTTCTAAGGAGAGGCCTATGTCCAGCAGTGGACTATTAAAGGCTGTTGATGTGATGATGTGAATATAAAAGGCATTAGCTGTCAAAATTTCACGTTTGTAGTCCCAGCGGTTTAGGTTGGTAAATCAGTCACGGCAAATTATTTTTAACACGCTTTTAATAGCTTAGTATGTATGTATGTATATAACGGAATCTTCGAACGTTATTTTGATTCACTTCAAAACGTCGAATTAAATTAAAACTTCGCACAGTTTTAGGGGACCGATGACAATACAATCTATACCAATATTATAAAGCTGAAGAGTTTGTTTGTTTGTTTCAACGCGGTATTCTCAGGAACTACTGGTCCGATTTGAAAAATTCTTTCAGTGTTAGATAGCCCATTTATCGAGGAAGGCTATAGGCTATATATCATCACGCTAAGACCAATAGG